CCATTCAGGCCAAAGGAAAGGGGAGTATCAGGTTCCCAGTCTTCCGGGGAAAGAAGAAGAATCCCTGCCCAGTCAAACAGGGAGAGGCATCCCTGGGAGGAGGAGGAGGAGATCCCTGGTCTGTTGTGGAAGGAAACTGCTTGAGACACCTCCAGAGACAGATAGAAATCAGAGATTGAAAGGAAGGGAGTTAGGTACTGAAAGAAGGCACCAGCCCCAAGGAAATAAGAGGAGAAACTCTATTAAGAAGTACTGTAGTGCTTTTTCAGCCCTGGCCCCCACCTGGTGGAACCCTCTGCCAGAAGACATCTGTGCCCTGCGGGAGTTATAACCTTTCTGCAGGGCATGTAAGGCAGAGATGTTCCGCCAGGCATTTGGTTGAGGACAGTGATGGGGGGACGGTATGATACCTGGCACTCTCATACACTTCCCCATCTCTCACAACCCCTCCCCCCAAGGAAGCCAGGGGGAGCCAATTTTTCCACCATCTGGTATATGTACCTTGTTTCTATTTATCGATTTATTTTATTTTATTTTTTTAATTTACATTTTATTATTGAGTATATCAGTCCAACACAAAGATAATTCACTATTCATCTTATTGATATTCTCATTTTCCAGTTTTAACAATCGTGAAACAAACAATCAAAAGGAAAAAAAATCCATCTGAGGTTACTATTGCAACAACCAATTTTTTCTCTCTCTTTTAATCCCTCTTCTTTTCTTATGCCCCTATCTTACCCGTTTGTAAATCCCATCCAACTTCCCCATAACTTATAAATCCTCATAATACCACTCAAAAACTACAGTTTCTACTAACTCACATAATACTATGTTCTTCTTTCATCTTCTGTACCTGAAACTGGTTTTAATGTTTTAAATTAAAGAGGTTATTAGTGAGATTATTAAAAAAAATGATGAGGTTATTAAAAATTTTAAAAATGGAAAATCTCCAGGCATAGATGGTTGTGGCTCAGAATTTTACTAACAATTCAGAGTCCTATTACTCCCATTTATGACAAAATTATTTAACCAAATAATGAAAGATAAATAAGCACCACACTCATGGGAAGACGCAAGAATCACAGTGATTTTAAAGCCTGGTAAACAAGCAAACCAACTAGACTCATATCGACCAATAGCATTATTGACCCAAGATGCAAAAATCTTCACTGCTGTCCTTGTGTCTAGACTGAGTACTATAATTGAGAATTATGTTTCTCCAGACCAACTGGGTTTTGTACTCCAAAGGAAAATAGCAGATCCAATATGTAGAATATTAAATGCTGTTTACATTAGTAAAAAAAAATCAGACGCTATTAGCCATTGCATCTCTTGATGCACAGAAAGCTTTTGATCATTTGGAATGGGATTTTGTCATTAGACTGCTAAGAACATTAAATATTGGGCAATACTTTATTAATGCAATTCAGTCAGTATATCAAAAGTCCAAAGCCAGAGTACGAATAAATGGTTTTAATTCTGCTAGTTTTCCCCTGATTAGAGGAACTAAACGGGGCTGCCCTTTGTCACTTTTTATCCTTTCATTAGAACCTCTGGCAATTGCAATAAGGGCTAATAAGCAAATTCAAGGCCTAGAGCTAAATGGACTTCGAATAATAGAATCATAGAATGTTAGGGTTGGAAGGGATCTTGCAGGTAATCTAGTCCAACCCCCCGCACTCTGCAGGAGCATTGCCGAAAGAAAGCACTGCAACATACCCAAAAGATGGTCGTCCAGCCTCTGCTTGAAAATGTCCAGCGAAGGAGCATCCACCACCTCCTGAGGCAGTCTGTTCCACTGGTCAACCACTCTTACAGTTAGGATGTTTCTCCTGATATTTAGCCGGTAACGACTCCCTTGTAATTTCCACCCATTAGATCTAGATCCGCTCCATCTTCTATATGACAGCCCTTCAAATATTTGAAGACTGCAATCATGTCCCCTCTAAGCCTCCTCTTTCCCAGGCTAAACATACCCAACTCTTTCAGCCTTTCCTTGTAAGACTTGGATTCCAACCCTCTCACCATCCTGGTTGCCCTCTTCTG